AAATGTGTAATAATGTGTTGTCCGGTGTTATGATAGGCGGCTGAGAATATAGCGCTTTGGTGTACAGAAAAATCTAAAAAACTGGACAATTTGGCAACAGTTATGATGCTATACAGCAGACGCTCGTTCAGCAAAGAGAATCTCCAGTGGACTAAATGTGTTGTCAAATACCTATACGACGCCTATTCGCACACTTTTCTCAATTTGGTGTCATTTCTCGTTGAGGTAATGTTGTTGTCATCGAATGCATTCATTTCTGTGTTTAATTCTTTGCCATTCTTTTGGTCAACAGGTGGCAGAAAAGGGTCCTCCGATTCTGTTAACGCACATCTTATCGATACTTCACTGTATGCTTCTCTACATAGACTTGAGTTCGACGACAACCATCAACAATGATATTCTCAAAGTGGCCACAAAATACATAGAAGGCTCGCAATGGAAAGACGCGCTCAAAATTCTCAAACTGGTGGTCACCCGTTCGTCCACTTTAGCCACGCCTCCAATTTATAACATCGCCGCCACTTATGCCAACTTTAATATGGGTCCTCAAAGTGCATCCTATTCTGTGGACTGCATTAGTATCGCTTCGGGAACTTCTTTCGCGGACTCGGAGTTCAGTTCGAAGCGCGAACTGCCCGGTCGTACGATGGACTTCACGTTCGACTTAAACCAAACGCCAATTGTTGGCCGAAAATATCTCATTAAGAATAATGAGCCCAAAAATAATGAAAACCGTTCGGAAAATAGTGGCCTCGAAATGGCGGAAGCGATTCACGAGAAGATGCCATCGGATGATAAGGATGTGTTGGTGTCGTCTCCGCGACGAAGTCTGTCACATAACCATTCGTTTAACGAGAGCAGCAACAACTGGCGCCGGCCGTGGCTCTCGCAGTCTCGCATTCGTGAGCGACTCATCGGTCTATTGACTAGTTGTGGACAACGCGTTGGATTACCTAAAAGCCCATCCGTTATATTCAGTCAAAACAGTGATGTCGTCGATCGCAAGTCATCGATGGCCAGCAGTACCGAAGAGATTTCGGCCACAAATAATGACGCCTCGGGTGACAGCAAACTGGAAGACGCGACTCACGGAGAGTTCGCTTTGTTTAAAGATTTCGATTTTCTTGAGTACGAACTCGAGAGCCAAGAGGGCGAGAGTTTGGATAACTTTAATTGGGGAGTCAGACGACGATCGCTCACCAATTTGGAGACCTCTGAGAGTGACATCAAAACCAATAGTCCTCTCAGAACTGTGGGCTCTATATCTAGTCTAAGGAACGACGAGTTGTCTTCCGACGAAGAGGGAGAGAGTGTTTCCCCACTTTATGAGATGTCGTCAGATATGACACTACAAACTGGTTCTATGTTTTTGCCAAACGCTTTGCCGCTTCTGGACTCCGATAGACACCGACCGCCGAGTAATCTTTCGCACAGCTCTTCGCCCAGTTTGGGCAGTGAAGGAGAACAGATATGACACTACAAACTGGTTCTATGTTTTTGCCAAACGCTTTGCCGCTTCTGGACTCCGATAGACACCGACCGCCGAGTAATCTTTCGCACAGCTCTTCGCCCAGTTTGGGCAGTGAAGGAGAGAGCGATCATTACATCTGTACTAAATGTAATTTGCAATTGAAATAAGAATAAATTGGTTTTTATCATAATTTGTTATAATTAGTTATAAATATATGGTACAAGTTGGTGTATGGTCAAATTGGTAATTGTTAATGATTACATAACGGTAACATGTATTTGACATGACAGGGGAGTGAAGGCAAACACCGGTTGTGTATATAATGGACGTAATTTGTGAATGTTTGGGAGGAGTTGTGTCTATTGTACTGTACGGTTGCTGTGAGTATTAAACGGTATAAACTGTACTCGAGTTGAGCCCAAAGTGGAGCCCAAATGAGAGTCAATACATGTATTGATAATTAGTTTAATTGATTTGCTTTCAAACCATTTTCCCCATCCATTCATACAGATATGACACTACAAACTGGTTCTATGTTTTTGCCAAACGCTTTGCCGCTTCTGGACTCCGATAGACACCGACCGCCGAGTAATCTTTCGCACAGCTCTTCGCCCAGTTTGGGCAGTGAAGGAGAAAGCGATCATTACATCTGTACTAAATGTAATTTGCAATTGAAATAATAATAAATTGGTTTTTATCATAATTTGTTATAATTACGTTAGTTGTAAATATATGGTAAAAGTTGGTGTATGGTCAAATTGGTAATTATTGATAATGATTACATAACGGTAACATGTATTTGACATGACAGGGGAGTGAAGGCAAACACCGGTTGTGTATATAATGGACGTAATTTGTGAAGGTTTGGGAGGAGTTGTGTCTATTGTACGGTTGATGTGAGTATTAAACGGTATAAACTGTACTCGAGTTGAGCCCAAAGTGGAGCCCAAATGAGAGTCAATACATGTATTGATAATTAGTTTAATTGATTTGCTTTCAAACCATTTTCCCCATCCATTCATCGCATATTTAATTACAATTAACTGATTGTATAACACATTGCCGTGAATTGGGCTCAAATCGGATCCATTGAGTCGCCTATAGGTAGGTCTCATTGATTACATTTTCATTTGACAACACATTTAAATGAGTGTATAATTGACTCAAAGTAAACAATCGTATCGTTAATGCCATGAGTTTTCAAATTAATTATTGATTGCATTTTCAATTCAACACTCATTTCGTTGACAATCGGTTCAAACCATTGATTTGCAAACCATGTATTGCACGCATGTATTAGTCTATCATTGGTTTGCAAACTAATTGTCACAACAATTACATTGATTTACATTTGTATGTAATTAGCATTCAATGCATTGTAAATGTAATGCAATTTGTTTTCATGTAAATTGTATGCAAAAGCTATGATTTGCGTTGAATTCAATGTAATTATAGTTGTATTTAGTTTTGTTTGCAAATTAACGATCGATACAATCGACTATTGATTAGGTTTACAATTAAGCCGACACTGAATTAAGCAATAATTATGAGTTAATAGTAAATGAATTTTATTATTACATTTTTGAGTGGTATTAATGGTGTGAATGTATTGAATATAATGTATGATTAGTAGCCGATTGTCAGCATTTTGTGTCACCCGTTATGACAGGCAATAGTAGTGTTAATGAAATGCAAAAACAGCCCATTTATTGAGTAGAGCTGACGGACTATACAATCCATACATTACTTATGCATGTATTGCTGTAGTATTGAGTCTATCCATACCTCAAACCATTATATAATCACTAAATTGTGTCATAAATATTAAGTTTTACTGTTAAGTACAGTATATAAGAGTATCATCTGTTAGGCTATAAAGTAGTAAAATGTATGGATTATTAAATATATGATTGAAATGTAATGTTAAGTGAATTTGAAATCTAAAAACTTGACTGATTTGACATTTCATATTATTTTTAATATTTTTTGAATAATATATAATTAATTTGCAATTAATATTAATGTAGTGCTAATTAATGTGTAAATAAGTTAACAGATTATTGCATTGATTAATGAGTGTTAAGGCTAATAGAGTTGTCATAAATTGATTGTCTGTTTTGTAAATGAAGTCAATATTAATTAAGCAAAATATTTGCCTAAAAGAGCGTAAATAGAAATTTATTTGAATATATATTTTGTCATTAAATTAAGGGAAAAAACTATTTGTTTGAAAAATGATAACAAAACAAAAAGTTAGTCTAAAATGAGTTCAATATTTGCGGACAAATAGTGTGTTTAATATAAAGAAATGCTTTTATATTAATTGAAAAATCGACTCAAAGACAGAGAAAATGATTGTTTTGATGACTTGAAAATTAAATTATATTGTTTTAAATGAATGTCTATTTTTGTTGTGATAAATAAGTGTTGAGACGAAATGTTGTGATATTTGTTAACATTATAAGTGTTTTGACGAATCGATTGAATTGTGTTTTAATGTTTGGAAAGTGAACAGAAAAATAACGATTGAATTGTTAGGAGTTTGAGGGGAGAGAGAAAAAAATTATTAATATATAATATAATATACAATAAACAGATTATAATAATGAAGTTTTGAGTAAATGACAAAATATATGTATAAATATATGCATAAAAAGTATTGCAAAGACTTGACTGGTTTTTGCAAAGGAAGAAGACAAAAGTGTGACACATTTGGATCAATACAATAGCAATTTGTGGCACCAATGAGAGCACCAAACACTGTGTTCTACCAGTTGTATGCCATCAGTGCCTACCAGTGCTCTGCATATGCCGTTACCGTCGCCTTAGAGACAAAGTACAACAAATAAAGACCTAAACAATACAAAGTCGGCTAAACCACAACCACCTGATGAGGGCTCTCTCCCAACACATACAACACACTATTACTTGTCTAATGATTATTCATTTTATCCCTCTATTCAATACTAAAACATCATTAATATTTACCTATATTTTCACTCAATATTACACTATAGTATAGTATGTACTGTCTATTGAACTATACTTTTTTCGTATCATTTTTATTGTAGGACTAGTAATAAAAATTAATTTCATTTTTCTATTATAAAATGTTTTTTTAATAAAACATTTACTGATGTGTTTCTGTTAATAAGTTTTTGAATAACTTATTCTTAAATTATTGTTATAGACTTATAATAAAATGAGGAAAAAGGAGAAATACAGTGAATGCGATATTGTGTGGCATTTTATTAAATTTGTTTCTTTAAAACAGTATTTTTTGAGTTGATTTGCATTCAACAGTACTGTACTGTTTATACTGTATAATGTATTAATAGGAATAAATGAACAGTAAATGCAATTCTTTACTTTCATTACAAATGCTTTTTTGTATTTGTCGTCAAAATGCAAATATATGTTGAATAATAGAGAGAACCCCTCATCAGGTGGTGGTTCACTACAGATCCGTACTCTTCGCCGCTTAGTCTCTATATTTCAATATTTTATTTTTTGATTACTATTTGTTGTGGTTTTGTCTCTAAGCGACACAAACGGTATTTTGAGCACTGAATTGAATGCAAAACATAAATTAGTTATTGTATTGTATTGTTGTTGAGTCTGTTTTCTTGGCCGCAAAATTTCAATAAGTATTGATTCGGTGTTTCAAAACTTGAGTTCAATTGGTTTGGTATCAGTGCCTGCATAGCACACACACACCCGACCTGTCAAATGGCAAACCATTTCTTGTAATGATATGCATCTAATCATAACTATATTTGGTGTGCATTTCACTCGATATGTCCTCACATTTCTATTGGACTTCTTGTCTAATGGTTTACTTTATTTCTAACTATTTTCGCAGAAAATCTGCGAAATGAATGACATCGAGAACAGTCATAAGCGGCCATTGGATGAGTTGAATCCAGAGATCAAAGAAGAAGAAGAGGCAAACAATCACCAGAACAACGAGGAGTTTGAAGATCTGACCGGAGAAACGATCGATGGCTCCCAACCGCCGGCCAAGAAAGTGCGCGCCAGCGAAGAGCTGGACATCAGATTTCTGGTGTCGAGTAAAGTATGTAATGATTGAATATTTGATGATTGAATGAAATATTGATATTTTAGTAGTATTTGATTGACTAATGAAGTGTTGTATTGTGTTTGTGATGCACTGATAGGAAGCCGGAGCCATAATAGGGAAAGGAGGGGCTAATATAAACCATTTAAGAAAACACGTAAGATTTGCCACTTATTGTTTGGTTTGTTTCCAATACCGTAGTCATTGGCGACCACTCTTTGACTATTCGACTAAATCTTTGTATTGTCCTATAAATTGAAGTCATTCGAAGTGTATGTCTTTAGTATCGCTTCCAGTCCTCCAGTGATAAGTTATCCAAAGTTTGGTTAAAATCCAAAAATACTTGAATTTAAGATGAATTGTTATATAAGTCTAAGCCTTAAGTCTAGAATAAGTTTCTCTCAAATGATTGTAACCGAAAACGAGGATAACTCGAGTTTTGCCTCTTTTTTCTCTTTCCCATTGCATATCATCTCTGGTGTCCATAACTCTTGGCGGCCATCCGTCTCGACATTAACACTGAATTGTCCCAAAAATAACTGTTCGCTATTGAAACTGCAATACCGGCCCAACGTTTTGACCATTGATTACATCCAACCATAACAACCATATGTCCAAAATCCCCAACACTTATTGATTTATACAAATTAATTACCAATAATTGGCCGAATGCTGTTCTCACGGAAATGTGAAACCTTCCCATGAAAATAAAGTATAAGTCAAGCGTAACTGTGCCCGACTGTCCTGGCCCTGAACGGTATATACACATCATTCTCTATCAATACAATCAGTTTAGGCGACCATTTATCGTGAATTCCGATGATTCTCTCGCTCTTCGGCCAATGATCTCCATCTCAATGCCCTTTCATCACATCTTTTCTGTATATTTCTAGGGTTTTGTCGATTGTTTCAAGCATTGAAACTCTTGGAGATATACTCACAAATGTCATCGCATATATAGATGATGTATGTATTCAAAGTGTTTACACCTTTCATCTTAATCTATAATTATTTGTTAATCCAATTGAATAAAGCGGTCCAATAATAATAATAACAATAACAACAATAATAATAGCGCAGAACGAGATGTAGAGCTGCGACTTCTGATCCATACTTCACACGCCGGGGGTATCATTGGAAAGGGAGGCCAACGGATTCGAGATTTAAGAGATGTAAACATTTACATAATATATGCATAACTTTTCCATTTAATTGCTTATTAACTGCTGTTTGTTTATAAAGCAAACAAAAGCGGCGATTAAAGTGTTTTCTCAATGCTGTCCGATGTCGACAGAGCGTATCTGCGCCGTCCAGGGGGGCCCCGCTCTTGTCATAGAGGCTATTAAAATAGTCTTAAACATAATAATCTCGTCGCCAATCAAAGGACCCGTCAAACTCTACGATCCCTACAATTTTGATGTTTATTGCGCCCAAGAATACGGCGGATACACTGATCCCGGACCCACTAATTTCCGTGGCGGTCGCGGCGGTGGTGGCGGCGGTCCTAATATGCCATTCGGTAGAGGGGGCGGCCCTCGTATGGGACGAATGCCAGACCGACGGGGAGGGAGTGGTCACTGGCAACAAGAACCTCCATCTCTACCTCCGATTCCTGATGGATGGGCCGCACGGATGCCTTTTAACGGACCCGCAGACAGACGTCCACACAATCAAATGTATTCGAGTCGATGGCTCACATCCGGTACGTAACAAATTGTTGAAACGAAAGCATATTTTGAATATTAATGTCTGCAGATAATCCCCGATCCGTTCCGCCGCCAACACAATCGCCACAAGTGGGCGCAGAGACCCCCTATTGGTCTGATGTGATTCCAAACGATAGCATCACTACTGGCGCTCCCATTCATTCATCAAATTCGTGGTCCACTCCTTATTCCGCTGCTAATAATGAACCAAATTTTGGACCGAATTCTGGTGAAGATGTTTCAAATTTAGTGGAAAACTCTGACGGTTCCGCTTCGGCTACTATTAGTGTTCCAAACAATGTAATAAATAATGTTTTGTCTATTTTGTCAATGAATTCCAACCCTATATTCTTTACTAACTGTTAGGTCGCCGGCGCTATCATAGGAAAGGGTGGAAATCGGATAAGACTTGTGCGCAGAGACTCTGGCGCTGATATAGCTATAGATAGTGCTGTCGGTCCGGGAAATGAGAGGATGATTACAGTGAAAGGCAATGCACATCAGGTCCGAATGGCCTGCTCTATGATCCATAAGAGGTTTGCCATTAATTCTGGATTATTACTCCACTAACCACTGATGACGGCTATGGCTTAATGTGGAAGGGCTAGTGTCTGTCTGGAAGACTAGTGATTTTGTTGTTCTGAATGTGAGAAACAAGAAATCACTTAATCTTCCGATGGATTCGAGCAATACTACTAACATTAACACTAATTCTCATAACTTTTTCTTTAAGTCAATCAATTGTTGCCATAATTTGTTGATTAATTAACATTTTGTTTAATAGTATCGCCGAAAATACCCGACGTTTTTAATACACTGTTGGTTCTCATCATTGTTTGTATTCAACAGATAATTGAAATAAATTTATATTTAATATTTCATCGATTTATCGCTAAACTCCGATTTTTGACTCAACTATTATTTTTTATATTTTCTATCATTAGTCAGACATAAATTATATGTAATTTAAATCAATTTCAACAAAAAAACAAATTAATTACAATCAATATTTTGAACATTTAATATATATAATTGCCATTCCGTTAATTACAAGAAATTGTATTTAAAAACCATTGGTTTAGTTATTATATTTTTGTTAGCGATTATGGTTTAAATCAAAGCATATATGCTTTTGATATGAGCTTTAAATGTTTAAAACTTAATTCAATAAAAATGATTGCTATTTATTGATTGCTTTATTAATAAATTTATTGACCAAACGATTGCAACTAATGTTATTTTGAACATTCAATGTTTTCCATACTAATCGCGTCACTCTATATGTCAACATTCATCAACATTTTATAATTATCCCCTAATTTACACAATATATTCAGCACTAAATTAATCAAAACATGTTATAAACTCATATATCAGAGAGAGAGAGAGAGAGAGAGAGAGAGAGAGAGGACTATACACGGTTGAAATGGATGCATTACATTTGAAGAATTGGGACATCAATTAAATGTTAAATAAAATAACATTTTGTATTTTAGTTATAATTTATAAATAATGATTTGTATTTGAATTTTATAAATAAAATAAATGTATTGTTATATTCTGTGAAATGAAAATTGAGAATATTCTGTGATTTGGAGATATAGTTATGAGTGTTTGGCCACAGATGTCATGATGTGATGAGAAGTAGTGTTGAGTACAGGCTTTGAGCGCCAAATGTGTTGTCGTTTAATGCGTTAACAATTGATTGACTTTTTGTGACAACAATTGGTTTGCATTTGAATTATGAGCGCATATGAAGACGAAGAAGAGGATGAGTTGCAGAGGATTCTCGAGGGAAGGGATGTCGAGGAATACGATGACCACTCTGTGGACCAACAATCAGACAATGACCACAACTCTGTCGATGAGAGCCAATCGATTGCCGCCAAATACAAGCGGAAGACAACTGAACGGACAATACGTGAGTCCATTGATGGCAACGACGGACACATCGATAAAAGGCAACGAAGAATTGACGACCACTTCGACCGCGAAGTGACGGAAGAGACCGAAGCTGTGGTGAAGACTGAAGCGGACGACGAGTCGAAAGTGAAGGTCAAAGTGCGGAGAATTGCGGCCAAACCTCAGCCCCGACTAAACGCCGATAAATTGATGGCCAGAGAAGGGATCGCTTTTTTGCCGCAAATCTTTAAAGATATTAAATTCAATGGAAAGGGAAATGAATTGAAAGACTTGAATGAAGTGATGTTCCGATTCAGCCATTGGTCGCACCGACTGTTCCCGAGTCTGACATTTGATGACTTTATCGAGAAATGCGAACAATTGGCGAATAAGAAACCGCTGAGGAATTTCATATCCGCTATTAGATTGGATTCGTTTGATGTGACCGTCAATACTGACGACCATAACAGCGATGACGACCAAGAGATTGAAAATCAAATCAAAGACTTCGATGAAATTATTGCCAACAGTTCTGTTAATATGAATACCAGTTACGCAAAGAAAACACCAGTTATGGAGACAATGGATTCCGACTTCGAGGAAGACATTGAACACGAATTGATGGCAGAATATTATGAATCGATCAGTCAAACAGTGGAAAACAATTTAATTATTGGTGAAAATGACAAGAATATAGAGACACACGATGTGATCGACAAGAATATAGAGACGGAAAGTAAAGAACTGTACAGTAATTTAGATAATGAAGATATGAGTGAAGATGAAGTCCTCCGACAAATCAATTCAATTGATTAAATCATTTTAATTATAAATTATAAAAACAATTTCTCGCAATTATATTACAAATATTTTAATAAACTATTATTTATGCGAATTTCAATTGAATGATGAGTCCAAGCCTTTGATCTCTTCTTCGTCGCCGCCGATAGCTTTCCAGAAAGCGATAGTCATGTCTTCTGCGTATTGTTTTCTATCCGTTTCGTTCATTTGCGATGATTTCACTGCAATTTTATGAGAGAATAAATTATTGCCACAAGTTTTGAATGTTTTAAATGTTAAATACATTTAATTTCACTAAATTTGTCGAATAAATGGTCGAAATCGTCGGTTTCGTTGTCACTCTCTTTCAATTGCGATGAATTCTCGCCAATACTTTCTATGATATCGTTGTCTAAGAGATCTTTGAATTTTGTCGACGGATGATATGATGGACACTCTGTGAGACAATTTTGAGAAATGATTGCAATTAATGTTGAATATAATTGTGACAAACCTTTGAGTGAACTATTGGGCCAATTGTACGCTTGAATGGCTTGTGATATGCGAGCGAATCCGTCTTCTTCTTCAATAGACTCGAAGCTGTCCTCCGATTCTGAGACATCTTTTTGCGGACATATGTCTACCAATTCATATTCATTGTCTAAACACCACTTCAATATTGTCTCACGTTTTTCGTCTTTTATTAATTAAAATGTATATAAATTATAAACAAATTAACAAAATATACAAAGATTTACCAGAAGTGACATCAATTGAATCGCAAACCAATAGCTTTATATCATTATTAAATTGATTAATGAATGTCTGCCAACATTTCATTTCATCAAAACTCGACTCCTTTTTGGCAAAATATAAACAATTTAAATGTGATTTCAATTAAAAACAATGAATGCATTCAATACTTGATTCAAATTGGAGTAAATGATAACTCCTTTAACGCAATCAATAAATCGTTTATTAATTAATTGTTCACTTTTAATGTGAAACAAATATATTTGCGATGAATAGTACTTATTATTAATCGTTAAATCAAAACAATCTATGTCTTCATCGGTTCCGAAGTCAATGGTTTGTGGCTTTAATTCTTCGGATGTTTTATTGAATTGTTTCAAAATATCTGTTTATTTAAGCATTAAATCAAAAATATTATTATATTTAAAATGAATTGAGAAACAAATGATATTTTAATTAAGACTTACTTTCAATGAATTGATTGTTTGGAGTATTGATTAGTAATAATCCTTGAATTGATTGGTCAACACGTGATTGCATTGATTTGGCCATCATTTATATCATATTATTGTTGGAAGTGCTGCCAGTGATCAACACATATCACTCAATACCATGTGTAGTGAATGTGACAGATATATGATAGTGCTAGATAGTACAGCGATCCCACACAAACACTGCCCTCACTGTACTATACTGTAGAGACGATTGCAATCTATACTCTAATTGCTTGTCATTGAGAAATAGTTATTAATATTACTTTTACATGAATTAAAGCAATTATACAAGTATTATGTGATCCTTAATTGAGATGACCATGGTGTGTATTGCCATCAACATAACATCACTATTCATATATTGCTTCAAACTTTACATATAATAAATGCAATTCATATAATTGCAAAATATTTGTTTTGACATTTAGTGCCTGTAGAAAACCGATACGATTTCGAATCGAAATTTTCGATAATTGAGCATGGTATTATTAAATATTGCATTATAACCAGTTTTCTCATGCATTTAGTATTGCAATGGATAGACTGTGATTACATTTAACATGATATTAAACTAGAAGTGAAAATAAGTTGATATGCATCACAATTAAGTGAATAGTGAGTATAACTATTATGTTAACTACAGATACCCCTAACAAACAACGAGTCAGTGCTCTTACACTAACATATGCTATGAATTAATGAACATTTCAGTGATTTTATCATTATTTCTAAAAACCAATGAATACTAAAACAAATAAAAGTAGTGTTAAATCGATGCAAAGTTTATCCGTTAATAATCTTTGAGTTTTGGATTTCTAATGAAATGTGTTATTAATATTGTCAATAACTTTTTGAAAATATTATTATTTCCTATGACTGAAGTGTTATATTAAGTATCGAGTATTATATCAATACTACAAGAATTGTTTACCAAATTGTGTGAAATTATTAAAACAATGGAAGACTACAAGGAATCGGAGATTATTACTTTTATACCTAAACTGTAAGTTAATCTATCATTTGTTAAATCACTTATAATTGGTTAAATAGTAGACATGATTCATTGCATAAACTATATAAGTAGACTGACCAGATGCTTAAGAATTACCTATATTGCCATCAATTTAAAGAGCGTTCCCAGAATTTTAAACAACTCACACACAGCGATGCTATACGTTAACCACTATTCGGGTGATTCTCAAAGAATAGATTAGGATTGGCTACACATTCAATAAGAGTCCATAGGATTAGCACTCCAATTTAAACAACTCACACACAGCGATGCTATACGTTAACAACTATTCGGGTGATTCTCAAAGAATAGATTAGGATTGTCTACACATTCAATAAGAGTCCATAGGATTAGCACTCCACATAGACTTAGCATTGTTCATAGACTTAACATTAGTCCATAGACTTAGCATTATCCATGTTATTCCTATGCCATAGACTTAGTATTACCATGTTAACCCAATGTCATAGACTTAAGATGTAATCCCATAGAAACCCATTGAAAATTTTCCCCATAAACTTAACATTACCCATAGGATAACATTAGCCCCATGTTAAAGTATAGCCATAGGATTAACATGGAATCCCATGTTATTTCCCATAGGGTGGGAAAGGGGTAGAGCCGAACGATCATATAAACCACATTATTCATATCAGAATAGTGGTTAAAAAATTTAACATTGTATGAAAGCGTCGACAAACTATCGGATTTCATGCAAAATTAGTAAAAAACAACTCACACACAGCGATGCTATACGTTAACCACAATTCGGGAAATGCATTAAAGATTTTTAAT